TTTTTAGACGGAGTCTTGCTCCGTTACACAGGCTGGGGCACAGTGGCACAATCTTGGCTCAGTGCAACCTCCACCTCTCAGGTTCAAACAATTCTCCTGCCTCAGCCTCCTGAGTAGCTGGAATTACAGACATGCGACACCATGCCCAACTAATTTTTGTATTCTTAGTAGAGACAGGGTTTCACCATGTTGGCCAGGCTGGTCTTGAACTCCGGACCTCAGGTGATCCGCCTGCCTCGGCCTTCCAAAGTACTAGGATTACAGGCGTGAGCCACCGTGCCTGGCCAAATAAGGCGATTTCTGAAGATGCTTATTTAAAAGACAGTCTCTTCCCAGAACTACTGACTCAGAAAGAGCTAGGAATTTGCATTCTCTTATTATTATTTTACTTTATTTTGTTTGGTTGAGATAGGGTCATACACATGATCACACCACTGCCTGGCTGGAGTGCAGTGGTGTGATCACAGCTCCATGATCACAGTAGTCTCAAGCTCCCGGCCCCAAGTGATTTTTCTGCCTCAGCCTCTTGAGTAGCTGGCACTACAGGCATGCAACACCATGCCCAGCTAATTTTCAAACTTTTTTATAGAGATGGGGTCTCTATGTTGCCCTCGCTGGTTTCAAACTACTGGTCTCAAGCAATCCTTCTGCTTCGTTTTCCCAAAGTGGTAGAATTCCAGTGTGAGAGCTGCCAAGTGTCTCATCAAGACACTGGCAGTCATGGGCCAGTGACTTACTATAAATGGTCACATATCTGTATGTAGCTGCTCCCCTACTCACCCGGTGGACTCCCATGTCCTGCTGCAGCTGTGGCTATTGCAAAAGCAGAGGCCGGTGAAACAGAGCAGTGGGCATTGTCAGCTGTCTGTCCTGGTTATTTGAAAAGAAAGGAAATGGAAAGGTGAGGCAAATGGATAATATTCTATAACAAAAATCATCATTTTTATTCCTGCATTGAATGAAGGACTGGGCCGAATGCCCTGTATTATCTCTGCTAGTGAGCAAATAATAAGATCACACAACAGGAATTCCACTCTAGGTATATAAGCAAGAGAAGCGAAAGCAGACATCTACACACAAAAATGTGTGTATGAATATTCATAGCAGCATTGTTCACAGTAGCCAAAAAGTAGAAACAACCAAATGTCTACCAATTGATGAATAAACACAAGGGAATATTATTCAGCCACAAAAAAGGAATGAAGTTGCAGTACATGCTAGAACATGGATAAACCTGGAAAACATTAGCCAAGTTAAAGAAGCAGCCAATCACAAAAGGTCACATATTATATGATTCCCTTTATGTGAAATGTCCAGCAGATGTGAATCCACAGAGGGAGAAAGATTAGTGGTTGCCTAGGGCTGCTGGGATTGGGGAAGGAATGGAGAGTGACTGCTAATGAGTATACAGTTGCTTATATGTACAGGGTTTCTTTTTGGGTGATGAAAATGTTCTAGAATTAAACAGTGGTTATGGCTGCCTGTCCCTGTGAATGTATTAAATAAAAAAATGGCTGAACTATATACTTTAAAAAGGTGAATTTTATGGTACATAAACCATATCTCAACATAAAAATATCCTTAGGCCGGGTGTGATGGCTCATGCCTGTAATCCCAGCACTTTGGAAGGCTGAGACGGGCAGATCATAAGGTCAGGAGTTCAAGACCAGCCTGGCCAGCATGGAGAAACCCCATCTCTACTAACAATACAAAATTAGCCAGGCATGGTGGCATATGCCTGTAACCCCAGCTTCTTGGGAAGCTGAGGTAGGAGAGTCACTTGAACCCAGGAGGCCAAGGTTCTTCCTCGGCTCTTCGGTGAGCCAAGATTGTATCATTGCACTCCAGCCTGGGCAACAAGGGTGAAACGCTGTCTCAAAAAAAAAAAAAAATTCTTAAAAAAGATACATCATGTTACTGATAGAATTTCCTTCTCAGAACACCAAGTGAGGATGGGTTAAGGGTGGCCCTTTGAAAATCAAAAGGATGCATTGAGCAACCTTGCAGTCCTGTTCACTCCTCCGACTGTACACACAGCATTTGCCAGTGCTGGTGCCAAGCTCACTGCTTCTCCTCGCTCAGACGTTTAGTGAAAACAGTCCACTGTGATTCTGAGCTCTGACAGCAAGTAGGAGGGTCTGAGGGCTTTTATTAGTTTGGCCCTAATGTTTCACAATCATGCTTAAAATAAATAAATACATAAGAGGGGAAGCAATGAGCTGCTTAATGTGCCCAGGCACACACACATAAAACAGCTCTACCCTCTCTTTCCACAATAGCCTTATTGCAAAAGCAAACATTTTGGAACAAGGTGGCAAGTAGATGCACAGGCAAAATTTCGGCTAGATAGAAATGTGTGATGCTGTCCCCATTTGGGTCCTCCATATTATCACAGGTTTCAGCCTCCTTCCTATGTTTCTATGTCTCTATGATTTAGTCATATCAGGGAAATAAAAAAGGATTTGGCTTAATCTACAAATAGGAGGAAATTTTCCAAATAATCCTTATGTAAATTAAAAATTTTGCATGTGAATATAAACTTAAGAAGAGAGGATATAAAGCAGAGCTCTAATAATCCTAACACCTTGAACAGCATTTAACTCTTGCCTTGGTAGAGCCTTACTTCCATAGGTTTCAATCCCAAACTCTTGCAGGTTACAATGAACTCAAATTGTCTTACTTGCCAATGGTCAAGAAGTTGCCAAGACCTGGACTGACCAAAACTCTAAGAGGAATAGAGAGATCTGGCTAATTCCATAGCAGTACTATGACAAGCCAGGAAAGTCTAATTTGTCGCCTTCATTTACCAGAAGTACCCAAATGGCAGAGTAACCCATAACGGACCTGCAGCCTGAAGGGCCCAAGTGCTAATATCCATTAAGGCAGGTATCTAACAACAGCCTGCCTCAGACCCTCCTAGTTGATCTCAGAGTTCATGGCAATGACAACAGCTTCTACCAAGCTGCGAAGGCCACAGATAACCATTTGGGGCCATATACTTTATGTTTTGCTAAAATGCCCTATTTGAAGCATGCGTATGAGGGTCAGAAATGCCTTTAGAGGCCAGGCACGGAGGCTCACACCTGTAATCCTAACACTTTGGGAGGCTGAAGAGAGTAAATTACCTGAGGTCAGGAGTTCGAGGTCAGCCTTGCCAACAAAGTGAAACCCCATCTTTACTAAAAATACAAAAACTGCTGGGCATGGTGGCACACACCTGTAATCCCAGCTACTTGAGAGGCAGGAGAATCGCTTGAACCCAGGAGGCAGAGATTGCAGTGAGTCGAGACTGTGTTACTGCACTCCAGCCTAGGCAACAGAGTAAGACTCTGTCTTAAAAAAAAAAAAAAATGTCTACTCATTTGGGTTACTTGGGGTGAATCAGGTTTCATAACTGTGTAATTTTCTCTTCTGACTTGAAGTAATTGGCTTAAGAAGAGAAAATCAAACATTTCAAAACCACTGATACTTGGATATATTTATTTGAGCAGTGACAAAAATGGGAGATAATTAAAATACTTCTACTTTCTGTCCTGATTATTTTTTCTCCAATTAGAGGACATTTATTGTGTTCCCAAACAAATTATGGAGTAATGCTTTACAATTTTCTTAACTATATATCAAAAACATATGCCAGTTTCTGCCACTTGCAATAATGATGACTGGGGTCCCATGCACTTGGACCTTATTTTAGGTCCAATAATTATTGAACCTTATTTTAGGTCCAATAATATTTGAAATAATATTATTAACAAGGTCTCTCCAGATTGTGATGTCCCAGATGAGTCCACTTACATAGATGACATTGGGACTCAAGGTAAGATATCAGAGACTGGGAACATTTTGGTAAACCCAGCACTGAGATTCTTCAACTAACTAACATCTAAAGAAGAGCCGTTTGATTTACGTTACTTCTCACAAAATGCAATGCAATTGATGGAACTAAACAAATATTGGCTAGACTAATGGCGTATTCTCTAATCATTTATTTTTTCACCAATTGGTCCTACAATAACATTATAGTCATCCCTTGTTACCTGTAGGGTACTGGTTCTAGGATCTCCCTCAGATACCAAAATCCATGAATGCTCAAGTCCCTGATATAAAATCATGTAGTATTTGAATATAACCTATGCACATCTTTCTGTATATTTTAAATCACCTATAGATTATTTATAATAACTAATACAACATAAATGCTATGTAAATAGCTGTCATACTACAATGTTTAGGGAATAATGACAAGGAAAAAAAGTAGGTACACTGTCAGTACAGAAGCTTTTTTTCTTCTACCAAATATTTTTGATGGGTGGTTGGCTGAATCCACAGATATGAACCCCAAGATATAAAGGGCCAACTGTATTTGCTTCCAATTAATTTCAATAAGTGAGACTAAAAAAATTATTTTGGCAGTGAAAACATAAGGCAAAGGAAAGGTTCAGAAGCTAGACATCATTTTTCATGTTTCTATTTCTGAGTCCCTCCTGAGCTCTTACCTCCAGGCTGGCGGTAGCGGAGGTGCCGGGGAGTTGAGGGGGATCTGCAAGGTGAGAGTTCTGTGGCGTCCGCTGCAGGGGAGCTTTCCACTCCTGCTCGGTCCGCTGGTGCAGACTCTAGGACTGCTGCTTGAAAACATAATGAATTTTAACAACCAGGTTATAAATTCTATAGCTTCTTGACAATATCACGCATGGAAACAAAAGTTCATTACAGATAATAAACATTTCATTAAAGGGCTTTAATATGAAATTAAGTCAAGTGCTAATGACACTAAATAAATAGGGATCTTCTCTAACCCTGTCTTGATGACCCTGTTGGACCTGGCTGATCCTAGCTGACCCTGGCCAGCCCCTTCTGTCAAATGCAGCAGCAGATGTTAAAAAGAACAGGGGACCGGGCACGGTGGCTCACGCTTGTAATCCCAGTACTTTGGGATGGGAGTTTGAGATCAGCCTGACCAACATGGAGAAACCCTGTCTCTACCAAAAATACAAAATTAGCCAGGCGTGGTGGCACATGCCTGTAATCCCAGCTACTCAGGAAGCCGAGGCAGGAGAGTAGCTTGAACCTGGGAGAGGTTGCGGTAAGCTGAGATCGCACCATTGCACTCCAGCCTGGGTAGCAAGAGCAAAACTCTGATTCAAAAAGAAAGAAAAAAAGAAAGAAAGAAAAAGAACTGGGGGTATGTGGTGTTGGATCCCCTGACCTTCCAAATGTTTCTGCTTTCTTGGAGGGGAGACATGGGGAAAGATGACTTTTTCAGGTTAAAAATCAGACTGGGATAAAAATCAGGACTTCATGAATTCTTTGACTGGGTTGCCCCCTAAGCCAACCAAAAGTTTGAATCTCTATCAATGTGGCCCTCACCAGGGATCTCTGGGATCTAAGCTATGTTGTCCAAAATGACAGCACTACCCAAACGTGGCTATGTAAATTTATATTAACTGAAGTTAAATTATTATTTCGGCTCCCCACTTGCACTAGCCACATTTTGAGTGCTCAGAAGCCACATGTGGCTAGTGGTTATGGTATTGAACAGCCCAGATATAGAGTATTTCTATCCTCCCAGAAAATTCTATTGGGTATCTCTGAGCTAGAGCTACAGATCAGCAGGAAGCAAATGAAAAATTTTTAAATGAACCATTGGGAGGGTTTAAGGTCATTTGAGCTTCTTTGCTGCAGCTAACATCCCGAGAAGTACACGCCCATCATTTTAAGGTCGCTCTTAGGCCATTACTAATGATATTTCTATATGCCTCCAACTGATTTATTAAGCAGGTAAGACTATAACTTTGTGTCAGCTCTTTCAGAGAAAAATATTACAAAATTATAATAAATTTCCAACGATTCTTCCATTCTTCTTGGGCTTTTCGTTAATTCCCACTGATAAAAGCTTAGTGTTACCTCCACTAATTGTACATTAATCCTGTTAGCAGAACTACTTTGCTTTGCCATTCCATTCAAGATTTCACTCAACAAACTTTCAAAAGCCCCAATGACTTCATATAAAGTCATTTTTATACTTGCATGTGACTTACCCGCTTAGAAATATGACCACAATTTTGCTCTTTTGAAACACAAAGGGGCCAGGAAAAGGAAATGGTTAGATTCTTTCTCTGAATGACATAATTATAGTCAAGCTGGCAACGATGCAAGATGCAGACAAAAAAAAATCAGTGCTTAGCTGTCGGTTTTATTATTTTCTAAATAACTCCCTCAAAATTCAGTAATGGAAGGCATCTGCTCTGTACGAACAAACAGAATATCAAACACACGTCTTTGGTCTGATTCAACCATTCAGTCATCTCAGGAAAATGAGAAAATCATTAGACAGCAATTATACTGAACCCAGGAAATTTCCCAATGAGAAAGCTGGACAGAACCCGACTGTTCTGAAAGAAAGGAGAGCACAGAAGAATCCTGTAAGCTAACAGGCACCTATGGAGAGAAGAAACCATGCCAGCAGTGGGGGCTGGGGGCGCATTCCTTCTGGCATGTTCACTTTCGATCAAGCTCCTTGCAAACAGCTTTGCCTGCAGGACGAGTGGGTAGATGTGGCTCAAAACAAAAGCTAAAATCGGGAGCACTTTCAGCCCACAGGCAGGCAATTTTCAAACTAAGAACACAGAAACAGATACTAGTGCTGTGGGCTGTGCAACAACACTTAGGTGGGCAAGTTGCACAGCCGTGGTCTAAGTGAACACTGAGTGGGAAATGGGGTCCGAATACAGTGAGCAGCTCTTTGGCTCACCTTTCTTGCCTGCTGTTGGCTTGGTTTTGTTGAGAACCCACCACTGGGTAGAATCTGGATATCTGAGAGAGGCTGGTATTTTTGTTTTGTAGTACTTGGGGTTGAAGAAGATAGAGACTGCCTGCTAAAAAGAAGGAAGGGTACTAGCAAATGTTGGATGAGCCTGGAATAGATGTAGGGACTGAGTCGGAGGGAAATTAAATTGATTTTTTCCCTAAGTTCATCGCCTCACTCATTTTAAAGGATATTTCCTATTTCTCTTCCTTATTCTCACATTGTTTGAAGTGCTCTTGCCTGAAAATATTGCAAGGCTGGCACCATCACTGCAATGACAATAAAAATGGATGAAGATCACTAGTACTTTTCAAAGAACATGCCCTGAAATGAATAGCTGGGTGGCAGTGAGGGAGGCCCATGGCATCAGTATGGACCTAATTGGCAAAACTGGTATTATACAATGAGATTGTGTGGGGTTGTATCCTTAAGTGAAAAGCAGAAAATGTGTAAGTTCTTGGCACAGGATTCTTATTCAAGTTTGCCAACTGTTTTAAGTGTTAACATTATGTGAAGCACACGCAAACATCTTTCAAATTAAAGATGGATCAATGTCTCCTTTTTCTTTGTCAACTCAAAATTTTAAGACTAGACAGCAGGGTTAACACAGCAGCACTCTTGACTCTTACAGATAACTACACACACATACATGTGCACACATGCACACACACACACACACTGAACTTTCAGACTCATGCTGAAGTAGTGTTCATCTCTGACTTTCCAAAAATTATTCATGACCACTGTTACCCATATGCCAATGCAAAAAACAAAACAACAACAACAAAAAACCCACAACTGAGTCTGTAATTTCTTTGCTTCACCTATTCAGAAAAATGCCAAAGAGCCACCTCACCCAGAGTCTTAATTCTAAACTTTCTACTCACAGTGTTTCCTTCACAAGGATCCATAGGATAAATTGCTCTCAGTCTCAACAGCCAGAAAGTATATGTCTGCACAACCAATGTATTCCTAGCCTTCAATATGAATCACATGATTGATTATATTCCTGTCTTTACTCTGTCAGCAGAGGAGCTTGGAACCAAAGTCAGGGGACTCTAGGAACTGCAGAAAATCACACAGTATTCATTTGTTCAGTAACCATACACTTAGCCACATACAGCTGTTTCCTTTTTCCCCATTGCCCAGTTTCCTTGCCTATTTTATTTTATTTTTGTCTTTTTAATTTTTTTTTTGTATTTTTGAGACAGGGTCTTACTCTGTGACCCAGGCTGGAATGCAGAGGCATGATCAGAGCTCACTGTGGCCTTGACCTCTTGGGTGCAAATGATCCTCCTGTCTCAGACTCCTAAGTAACTGGGACAACAGGGGCACACAATCACACCTAATTCTTTATTTTTTATTTTTAGTAGAGACAAGGTCTCACTAATATGCCCAGGCTGGTCTGAAATTCTTAGGCTCAAATGATCCTTCCACCTTGGACTCCCAAAGTGCTGGGATTATAGACGTGAGCCACCACGTCCAGCTACCTATTTTTAAAGTAGTTGTGCCCTGCATCTCTCTGAATGACCACCTTAAATATTTTTAAGTATAAGAAGGGAAATAATACATTAAAAAGAAATCAGAAGACAGCTACAGAAAGGGAAAAGAATGCAAAATAGTAGCTTAATGGAAGGATTAAGGAAGAGGTCATGGTAAAATGAGAGCTAAGGGGGGTGCATTAGGCAGTGAATGTGACTAAGAAGCCTGGGGAGCAGAGGAGCTGACAGCTCTGGAGTAAAGGTCGGCTCTATGGGCTTCATCAACTGCCATGGGCCCCTCCTAGATACAATCTTGGACATTCTCCATTACCCAGAGTGGAAAGAGCTCAGCATTTTACTATGCTTGAAATGATATTTCTAACCTATGAACTATCTGGATAAATTAACTGATAAAAATACAACACTAAATCATTTGTTTTGGGGAAATCCAGCGAGAAATGGAGGCATGAAGCCTTCAACCTAATTCTCTAATATAGGAAAGATCCTAATATTTCTGCCATACTGTTATTCACAGGTCCTCTCCATATGCTGGCCCCAGGTCATGAATGATCAGTGCTGTCACGTGATAAGGCTCTCCAGCAGCCACTGGCTATGTCCACAATGATCCCACTCTGTCCAATATCTGCACTGACAGGTCTTTGATGTCTGTGTCAGTGTCCTTCCCTAAGAGCTTGATCCAGCTCTTTCTCATTTATCTTGGTCTCCCCATGCTATGATTTGAATATGTCCCCTAAAGTTCCTATGTTGGAAACTTAAACTCCAATGCAACAGTGTTGACAGGTAAGACCTCTAACAGGTGATTATGTCATGAGTACTCTACATTCATGAATGAATGAATGCTTTTATCTTGGGAACAGAATGAGTTTGGCCTACTTCCCTTTCTTTCTCATCCATATGATGCTTTCCATTATATTACAATGCAGCATGAAGGCCCTTACCAGATGCCAGCCACTAGAATTGGGAGAGATACACTTCTGCTCATTATAAATTACCCAGTCTCAGGTAGCACAAAGTAAAGACAGAAAATTAGTACTGAGAAGTGAGGTTGTTGCTATAACAAATACCTGAAAATGTGGAAGTGGCTTTGGAACTGGATGGACAGATGTTGGAAGAGTTTGAAGGAATGGAATAGAGAAAGCCTGTATTGCCATGAATGGAGTGTTAAGGATGATGCTAGCAATAGTCCGTGCTCAGAAGAAGAGAAAGAGCTTTCAGGAGTCTGACTCTCCTTAGAGATTACTTAGGTAGTCATGATCAGAATGTTGGTAGAAATATGAATGGTTAAAGCAATTCTGGTATGAGGTCTCAGATGGAAACGGGAAACAAGGTGTTGAAAACTGACATAAAAGCCACCTTTGTTACTAAGTAGCAAAGAACTTGACTGAATTGTGTTTATGTCCAAGGGCTTTATGGAATGCAGAACTCCAGAGTGATGAACTAGGATACCTGATGGAAGAAATTTATAAGCAAAATATTAGGAAGCTGCAATGGCTACTTTTAAATATATACAAGAGGAAAGAAATGGTTAAAGGCAAAATTTATAATTAAAAAGGAAGCAGAACAGAAAGATTTGGAAAATTTGCAGCTCAGCCATGTAAAGAGTGAAAAGGCATTTTGGGAGCATAAACCAAGCCTGTGGCCAAGTGACCATTTGCTAAAGAGATTAATACTAAAGAGATTAGCATGGCTAAAAGAGAGCGAGGTGCTATTCATTAAGACAATGGGAGAAAGACTCCAAAGGCATTTCAGAGATGTTTCAGCCAAGCTAGGACCTTGAGGGCCAGGTTTGCAGAGAGGAGCCTAAGGGACCACAGCATTTGCTGCCCAGGGCTGCTCCCCACATTCCTGTGCAGTGCTCCTCAGCCCCACTAGCTGTGGCCCAGGCAAAGCCAGGTGCAGCTTGGGCCACCGCACCAGAGGGTGCACATGGAAAGCACTGGTAGCATCCATGTGGTGCTAATTCTGCAGGTGCACAGAATACACAAGCTGTGAAGGCACAGCTTCCTTCACCTAGATTTAAAAGGATGCTGCAGACAGCCTAGGGGCCCAGGCAGAGATCTCTTGCAGGGATGGAGCCACAAAGAAAGTCCTCACTGGGGCAATGCCTAGTGGAGCCATGAGAGTAAGGCCATTGCAGAAATCCTGAAACTGTCAACATGCAACACCAGCCTGAGATTGCTGCAGACAAGAGACTCTAATCTATGAGAGCTGACATGTGGGCTGAGCCTAGAAAAGCCAGGGGAGTAGCCCTGCCTGAGGCTTTGGGTACCCAACCCCACCCCCATGTATCCAGGAGGCAGCACATGGAGTAAAAGATTATTCTGGAGTCTTAAGATTTAATGTCTGCCCCCTTGGGTTTTGGACTTACTTGAGGCATGTTATTCCTTTCTTCCTGTTTATTTTTCCCTTTCACAATGGGAATGTCTATCCTATCCCTGTCCCACCACCATATTACAGCTGGAGGGGAATTTGCTTCAGGATGAATCATGTCTTGAGTCTCACCCATATCTGATTCAGATAAGACTCTGGACTTTGAACTTACCAGTTGATGCCAGAACAAGTTAAGACTTTGGGGGCTATCAGGATGGAATCTATGTATTTTGCATGTGAGAGGACATAAATTTGGAGGGGAAGGGACAGAATGCTACGGTTTGAATGTGTCCCCCAAAGTTCCTATGTTAAAAACTTAATCCCCAATGCAACAGTGTTGACAGGTTGGACCTCTAAGAGGTGATTATGTCATGAGGGCTCTAGCTACATAAATGGATTAATGCCATTATTGCAGTATTGAGTTCCTTATAAAAGCATAAGTTTGGCCCCTTTCCTCTCTCTCACGTCCACGTGTTGCCTTCCACCATGTTATGACACAGCAAGAAGGCCCGTGAAAGATATCAGCACCTTGATCTTGAACTTTCCAATCTCCAGAACTGTGAGAAATAGATTTCTGTTCATTTAGAATTATCCAGTCTCAGATATTCTGCTTTAACAGCACAAAACAGAGTAAGATACCCCAAGTCTAACTTTTTTCCAGCTTATTGTTCCAGGTAAAAAAAAAAACTATTGATTTCTACCCTGTCCTAGACAGTAGCTCAAGCAGCTTTCATGATAAGGTGTTGGATTGTTGCTTTGAAGACTAAAACTAGGAAAGCTGGTGATCGAAGTGGAACACTCCCTGCATAACAAGTTAAAGTGGAACACTTAATCATGGTGATATCAAAGAGATATTTGCACACCATATTCATTGCAGGATTATTCAAACAGCCAAGAGGTAGAAGCAACCAAAATGTCTTTCAATGGATAAATGCATAAAGAAAATGCAGTATTATGCATACTGCATTTTCCTATTGTTCAGCCTATTAAAAAATGAAATTCTATCACATATTATAACATGCTGAACCTTGAGGACATTACACTAAGTGAACTACCCATTCAAAAAAGAACAAATATTGAATGATTCCACATATATGAGGTACTTAAGGTAGTCAAATTTAGAGACAGAAAGTAGAAAGGTAGTTGCCAGGGGTGTGGGGCGGGAGGAAGAAAATGGGGTACTATATAATGATTATAGAGTTTCAGTTTTGCAAGATGAAAAAGTTCTAGGGATCTGTTGTTCAACAATAGTATTGAGCTATAACTTAAAAATGGTTAAGATGGTAAGAAGGAGAAGAAGAAAGATTCTCTAGGAGAGTTGTTAAGTTTACTCACTGCTAGAAAGCCCTAGGAAAAATACTAACAAGGTCTGTTCTACAGGGCTACTGATACTGTCAAAACAGGACAAAGCCTGTCCCTTCAGAAGGAGTGATGCCTCTCACTCTCAGAAATGGCCTTCACCAGCCAGTACAGTGGCTCATGCCTATAATCCCAGAACTTTGGGAGGCTAAGGCGGGTGGATCACCTGAGGTCAGGAATTCAAGACCAGCCTGGCCAACATGGTGAAACCCCGTCTCAACTAAAAATACAAAAATTAGCCAGGTATGGTGGCGCATGTCTGTAGCCCTCGCTACTCAGGACGCTGAGACAGGAGAATAGCCTGAACATGGGAGGCAGAGGTTGCAGTGAGCCGAGCTTACACCACTGTGCTCCAGCCTGGGCGACAGAGTGAGACTCTGTCTCAAAAACAAACAAACAAAAAAGAAACGGCATTCACCACTGGTGATTACCACTACTCCTTTACTTACATATTCTCTTGGTCCAGAAGATGTCCCATCTTCTCTTTCCAACCCACATATCTTTTTTCTCATGTCAAACACGCTTCTTGATTCTGCTCAACCAGATGTAATCTCCCTGCTCTTCAGCTTCCAGAGCACTCTGTCGACACCTCTTACACCACCTGCCCATATAGTTATGTTGTTTCTCTATTATCCACATAACTAGATTATGATGGTGAAGGTGCTATTTACCACTGTAGACTCTGTAGCACACACGGTATCCTGCACAAAGAGGCTCACTCAATGACTCTTGAACAGACTTTACTGCCTCCTCATCCCAGCCCCAGGAGCAATCAAACCATAGCCTCTAAGCCACTAGTGTTGGACACTGAAATGCATGTTCCTAAAGCTTACCTAACTCAAAAAAAGGGAGAGAGAGAGAATCCTGACTTATCTGCAGATTTCTCCTCTCCTATCTACTGCAGTGCAATAAAGAAGGGGAAAAAGCTTCCCATGATCTGAAAGCTCCTGTACTTCCCATACCACCATGCCCCATTCTAGTCATTCCCTCCACAGGGTTTCCCAAGCACTGGCACTGGATCCAACCCTGAATGCACTTGTCAGCTTGTATGCTGCCTCATTATTCCTGAGAAGAATTCATCATAATTTTGCTTAAGCTTGTTGTTCTAATGACTTTTTAATTATCTTCTCCCTTTCCTCCTCCTTAGTTGCTAACTTGTCAATTTAAAGACTTTAAAAGGGTGCAACTTTTGATGATGACAACCATTCCAGTTAAAATTCCATTAACAGCTTCACTCAGGAAACTTATTTAAATGATTCAAGCTAGAAGCACATAGAAGCTTCAAGCAGGTAGAAAAGCAAGACTCTATGCATCCATCTGAGCAATCCTCCTTGAGATTTGGGCACTTTGTCTGATTTACTGCCCAATTTTTATTATATTATCAATAAGTCAGTTATTATACAGTTTTTTAAAAAGCTGTTTGTAATTTGACAGTGAATCATTTTTATTTTCATTACAGAAACATTGGACTTTAAAGCAACAAGAATTAGCTCTTCCAGCCCTACGCTGTACCAAGCTGAGAAAGCTAAAGTGATGGGTGAGAGGGCCCTCGATCAGTTCACTGTATATTTTATTTCATTCATTCATTTAACAAAAATTTGCTACTTGTCAGGCACTGGCCAAGACACTGAGGGTGCACAGGTGAGTAAGACAGATAGCTGATCTCATAGAGCTAACATGGGAAAGGAGTGGCCAAGCAGAGGAAGGAATGAGTGCAAAGGACTCTGAGGCAGAAATGACCAAGGTGTTTCTGACACAAAAAGGAAATCTATGTGACAGTAGCCAGTGGATGAGGGAGTGTGGAGAAACAGGGACTGGAGAGGGTGGCAGGATCCATGTCTCACGGATCTGAAGGCCCTGGCCGAGAGAATGTCCTTTATTCTAAGTGTGATAGGAAGTCATTAGAGAATTTGAAGCCAGAAACCTATGATCTAATCGGCATTTTAAAAAACTATTTTGGCTGCATCATGAGCAATTAACACTGTCTCCAATTTGATTTCCCTCCTATATCTCTGCTATAACATGGAGCACTGTCCTCATAGCTAAACTGAAGAAGCCATCATGGTGCTTCCAGCCTAGCTCATCCTCAGCAGGGAAAGGCCGGAAGTACACAGGTACCTAAGGCAAATAGTGGAGGAGGAGAAAGCTCTGCAGCCTGAGTTCACAGGTGAGAGTGCCCACAACCTCCCACGGTGCAAAGCACCATGCTAGGCTCTTTAGCCAACCAGTCTTAACCGAATTCCAAGAACTCTCTAGTAATACCATTCAGATATGCTATTCTTCCATAGACAGCTGACTACAATAAGCCTTTTACTATAGGGGCATAAGGACAACTCATCTTCCTTTCTGTTCCAGAGGGGCCAGAGGAATCTACAGGAATTTTCTCTTCTAACTAGCCATTGAACTCATTCTACTTTCTATGCAGAAGTATTAAAGTTGTAAAGAAAGGAAACTAGGGTTCCAAAAGGAAGGGTGGGGAGGCAGGCGGCCAGCAAATGTGGGGTGTAATTATGCAAATGTGCTAGATAATACCTTTTTGAATACTTCGTTTTAGCTTGTTACACAGATCCACGCGGGGGTTATCGACATTCTCTTCCACCGATCCCGGGCTTTGCTCTGGAGAAGAGAGGGCTCTGCTGAGATCCAGTGGTATTTGACCAGTGTGTGGCGGTGGAGAGGCAGCAGGGCTCTGGGTGGTGGTGGTGGGACTGCTGGAAGTCGTCAGGTCCAATGCTCCTATCTTTGAGTTCAAGGGAGAAGTCAAAGACAGCTTTCTGGCCCTCACTGGGGAAGATGTTCTGGACACAGCCAGTGGTGGTGGGGAAGAGAATTTGCGACACAGACGTGGAGATTTTCCATCCACCAAGTGTTCACCTCTGTTGTTCTGGCTGGTAGCAAAAAACAATTCCAATGACCTAAAAATAAGAGCAAAAGTGACTAAGAGATTGTAGCCAAGTGAAATAGTTTCCCAGATGTCATTCAAGAACATGTTCCCTTCATTTACAGGCCACAATCTCACTGCACTTCTATTGCTGGACTTTCCTTAATCTAAATGCTACATGTATACCCTCCACCTGCCAAAGAAGGACAGACACTTATTAGGCATCGTCTAATCCCTTACTACTAAATTGTGATCCAAACACCAGCACTGGGATCTCTGGGGAACTTGTCAGACATCCAGAACTCGGGCTCCACTCCAGACCTACTGAATCAGAGCCGGCAATTTAACAAGACACTCTCCCCCTACCACATGCAAGCTGATTCTCATGCATACTAAAGCTTTAAAATCATAATTGTCAAAAAAAAAAAGAAAGAAAAAAAGAAAAGCCGAAAGCAATAGAGTTTATTTCCAAGTAATCACAGAGCAAGCAAAGGCCAATTGGAGACTTCTGGTTTTCCACTTCGTCCCTGGGAAACTGTGACCTTTACATTGGCCTCCTGCTGGAGGGCATGGTACATTGAAAAGGCAAGCTAGTATACCCTAGGAGCTGCTTTGCAGAGCTGGCCTGCTCATTTGCATGGTGATTCTGGAACAAAGAGGGCCATATGCTAATGACAGGCAAGTCTCTAGTGACAGGCATACCTGACAGGGATGGAGGTGAAAGGCCTCTTGTATATGTCGGAGAGTTTCCCCAGCACCACAGCGGCAGTAGTGAAAATACGATAGGTGTGCAGAAAAGTGTTGAGGAAGTCGATACTAAGAAACCGCAAGTCTGTCAGTCGTTCCAAGAGGCGCTCCACGCTGGCATAACGGATCTGGGGCACCTTGCAGGAGTTGAGCGTTTTACTGAAGCAGATGTCAGTGTCATCTTTATGAAGACGGGCATCAGACCTACACGCAAAGCAGGAACATGATGGTAAAACCAGGCTTCCCCCTCGGCCACTGAGTATTTCAGTATTTGTAATCCCACACTCAGGAGTGGGCTTCTCACTGCGTTTGATAGGGGGAAGATAATTGCACAGTTGTCCCCCACCCTCGGGGCATTGGTGGCTTGACCCCCACCATATTAAAGTCCACAGATGCTCAAGTCCCCAGTATGAAATGATATAGTATTTCCACATAACCTATGTATATCCTCCTGTATGCTGTAAATCACCTCTAGATTATAATACTTAAAACAATGTGAATATTCTGTAAATCATTATCCTGTATTTTAAAATTTGTATTTTTTATTGTTGTATAGCTATCTTTTTGTTTTCTTTCTTCCAAATATTTTGGATATGTAAGTAATTGGCAGATAGAGGGCTGATTGTGTATGTCTATATGATAGATAGACATATAGGCATAGGCAGGGCTATGAAAACATCAAGTTTACTATAATTTAGAAAAGCCAGAATTTAGGATGGAGGTGGTAAATAATAATTTGTCTCACACTGTGGATTCCTTCTCTCTAATTCAGTCTTGCTTTATTAGGAAGATGAAGCCAAAGGTCCTCTTTAAGAGCGGGGGTTAGCACTGCTTATGCCCTTAAAGCAAAATATCCAAAGTGTTCATAAAACATAGTGGGTGTCACCTTCCACAACAGGAGAGGAAAAGATGCAGATATCACTGCTATATCTGTGGTTCTTTTTTTCTTCAATTCTAATTTTGTATGTTTGTGCTTTCCTCCTTTGTTCTTGATTAAATAGGGTTAGGTATTTTGCTGTCTAGAATCAGCTCTTTCATTTATCCCTTCTACTGTTTTCTATATTGTATTAATGTCTATTTTTATTTCCTTCCTACACTTTCCTACAGTTTAGTCTCTCATTCTTTTTCTAACTTTGTGATTTGAGTGCCTAATTCATTTATTTCATTTTTCCTGGCTTATTAATGCCTTTTAAGGCTATCCATTTTCTGAATACTGTCTAATCCATAAGTTGCAAGTGTGACTTGTTATGTTTTTATTATGTTTTCAAAATTCTGTGGTAAATGCCTTCATTTTTTTAAATAAAAGGAATGGGTGAAATATATTCCCCTGAATAGCACCTACCCCCACTACCCTGCAATCCACTGCTTTTGTCATTCTGTAAAACTTCCCATCTGGCTGCTCCCAACCCCTCGCCTTCAGGCCATTGCATTGGCAGCCTCTCCAAGGGGACAGCGAAGACCACCAGTAGCCTTCACTTCCGCTTCTGAGATCCCTTGTTCACCTTCATTGCAGCATCTCGGAACAGACAATCAATGAAGTCCTGAATTTCACCAGTTGATTAAAGGATATGCTACAGGGCCAGTGACTTTCAGTGAGCCAATTGCTTGCTAAGAATTGGCTGGCTAAGAATCAGTTGTGAGTGCCCTTAATTAGCCCTTTCAGCGCTTCGAGGGATTTGAAATTATATATTTATTTTCTTTCTGATAAAAAGGAATCAATAGTTTTCTTAACTTGCTCTTAGAAACACCCCAGCCCAACATATGCTCAGTGCAGGTTGAAGTATTTCATCTGCAGGCCTGAAAGAGCATGTTAAATGAGGAGCCTGCCCCTGCCAAGGAACTGACTGGGGTTGCCTGTTAGCTTGAGTTACACTACTGATCTTGAAATGCCCAAGTGCATCTTTTGAGGTTCTTGAAAATAACAAGGCTCTTTCTTCCACTCCCTATGTGTCCCTCAACCAACTTTATTTTTCTGGTTCTTAATTTGCTCATTCATAAAAAGATCTGAGAAAAATTTTATGAATCCATCAGTCTGTCCAGAAGATGGCTGAACTAGATAACTGCTTGTTATCCCATCATTGTCCACCACAAAAATCTCTATTTTCTAAGAAAGTTGAGATCAAATATTATTAAAAGAAAGTCTACATACCCTATAAAGGGATATTTTCACCTAATAAGCGTCATGATTTTCACATTCTATTCATAGTTTTGAGCTTTGCATCTTTTGGCTATAATTAGCTTATTTGAAACACTAGGACAAAAAATGTGTTGCAGCCAGCATAAAATTAAAATAAAACTGACTAATTACACTACTTTCCTTCAAAATTGCGATTACATTTTCATTTTAAGGAAAGAAATTAAATATTATGAAATTATTTCATTTTCTTTTATTATGGTGAGTAGAATCTTACTTTATTTCCTAAGGGACTCTCGAGAAAAATATAATACATTACTGAAGTCTCCTATGATAACAGCAACTCCTTTTTGGTAAACACTTAAAAAGCAATCTTGAGAGACCAAACCCAAATCATCTATTATAATTGGTAAGTTTTAAAGGAAGTGAATGCTTACAAAGTGATGCCCTGTCAATAACATGACACAGTTATAACAGGATTTTTTTTTTTTTAACTCTGAGAAATGTTAGGAATTTTCTTCATGGTTTATAGATAGGGACAAAGATACATAGGGAAGAATACAAACTTCAAGGTAGAAAAGAGCCATCAGAAGGAACAGAGATTGTAAAATCTCTGTCCTCTGAACGAGGACAATCAGGCTCAATAAGACTGGGAAAAATAGAAGTACATATATAAAAAAACTTCACTCTTCCATGGGAATAAATCTAGTGTATTATAGATATGTTGGATTTAATAGAAAATCTTTACAGTCCAAGATACAGGTTTCTGCCCTAACAGGAGAACAATCTCAATTCATTAAGTATCACCTCTGTGCACCTAAAGGCAGAAAAGTCCTGGTCTGTAAGTGGTTAGACAAATGAGATTGGACATGGACACTGGTAAACTGCCATGGTTGGGGACAGAAGATGCATTTGGGTGCCAGCAACAACTGATCAGGCACAAAACTAAAGTCTCCATTAGTATTAATTTTTAATATCAACAAAATGCATGTGTAGTGGGCATATAGCTGCCCTAGGGCTTAGAACTTGTCTACACTGTCTTACACAATTCAATTCCAAAGCAGGTGGGCTTTCATGGTTGTCTAACCTCCAAGAAAGTGCTTTCAAAAAGAATAAAAATCACATATATCATTTTGGGAAATATTAAAATTATATGGTAGGAAATTAATAAGAAAACTCTAACCCAATGATGTGAATTCAAAAATTAAGTCATAGTTTTGACTTTTTGATTTAATATTCTATATTTATTCTTATTCTTAACATCATAACATTTTACCTAACCTGGTTTCAAATAGTATACTAAATTTAAAACCTAGAAAATTGAATGCAAAATAAATTTTGCCCTAGAATTTAAAAATGGCTCTACCCAAAGTATTTTTAAATTTGACTAGTAATGTAAAGCACTATCATCCTTTTATCATTTATATTTTCCTGTAGCATTGATGGTACTAGTATTATGTACTCTGCTTTCATGTGATATAATAATTAGTAAGTTTTAAAACATGTACCATTAGGATGATGCTAACTGTAATTAATGTCTATCAGAATAGGAAAGTCTTCCTCCCAAAGTTAATGTTATTTATAGCCTCCGCAAAAACAGTCCAGACTTCAAAATATCCACATAAAAAGCCATGAAAGACACACTTTTTTTCAGTTTCAAGTAACTTCATTTTTAAACATAGAACTGCTTTTAAAAATACATTTTACTCTTAGAATTTGGAATGCAAATAACCAAGAAAATGAGAGTAATGAAAACTGTGGTTGGCTTCAAAATACTCCCAAGACAATTTCTAAATTTGAAAACAAAAAAGTATATGGAGACAAAAGCACTAATACAGACAGCTCTAGCACACAGTTACTGATAACTTTTCATTTTAAACTAGAGCTTCCCCAGTGGAAAATTATAAGATTTACTTTGTTAAAAACAGCTAGAGCAGGACGGCAGCCCTAGGCAAATAGCCTCTGGGGCAAAGCATAAATAGGCAGTGGGGAGACAGCAAAGCCACTTGATTCATGTTATCTAAATCTATCTGAATGGCCAAATCAGGGTATTATGACTCATACCCAATGGGAGGATTCATACCCAGTGGGGCAGCCACACCTTTGTCCACCCTCTGACCTTGGCACATCTGGCTGTCACTATTTAATTTTTATATTGAACTTGAACATCTTAGGATTTTGTCCTGAATGAAGACATATGTAACAGTATAAAAAATAATTTTTCTATGCTGTGAGTTAATAAACTGTGAACCTGAAAAGCCACTTTGATAGTCTTATTTATAACGGAATCATATGAATCACTGCATTCCTGTCAAGAAACATATTCTCAATAAGAAGCAGAATCCTATTGAAGCAGTATTTTATTCAAGGTTTTACATGCTCTGCCAATTTAATCTTGATTAAAATGTAAAGGAAAGGATTCTCACACTTACTTAATCATATGTGGCACAGTGACTTTGGAATTCTCTTCAAATACTATAGTCATTAAACCATTACATCGTATATTGTCCACACACTGTAAAATAAAATGTTGACAATTACAACCTACATGAAAGCCTAGGCAGATCATATATTCCCGCAATTGTTTATAGCCAAAAGAATCAACTTAATTTCCCTCTCCCGCTCTCTTACACACACACACACACGCAGATATACACACACACGTGCAGAGCAAGTAAATACTACACACTGATGAACAGATTCAGTATTCAGATACCAAAACTGTACCAACTAAGTGTCTGACAAATACCTGACGACAGATACAACAGCTGTATTCTCCCTGGATGTATTTCCCAAGAATTCATGTCACTTCGTCACAATTCTTAGGCAACCCCAACACTACTTGAGAGGTGACTGGGACCTGACCATGATCGCTCTTGCTATATTCATTTTCTGCAACCAGGGGGTGGTATGGAGTACTCAGATTAAAAATAGTGGCTTCCTCAGATGGAGTTCATCTGTCTCCAGTAAGCTCTGCCTCTGCTTCTCAGGTATTCTTTGCCAATAAATTCCCACATTTTACTACTACCTCTGGCAGCCCCTATTGATACTATGTTATTTGGAGAAGGGACAGTGTGTAATTTCTCCTGTCTCTGGCATGCTTAAAGCATTGTATCATCTTTTTCTCTTTTCCAAAAGGAGAGTTCAGGAAGCTGTGCTAATTTTCTCTGCCTTCATTATTTAATCTGTACCTTATCAATTTAAATTTTCCCTCTGCAATTATTTTGGGTTAAAGAAAAATTTATTTTGAATTATACATATTCCCTTTGAACCAAATAGGAAAATAAAAAATATAATCAATTTTTAAAATAAAAATTTGCTTCTAGTTACTATGATACTATCTAGTGCTTTCTGGCTATCATTAAATAGGGCAATGAAGCTGACCACAATGTGACCTCACATAGGTCCTGAACTCAGGGTATACTCTAAATGCCAATGCTCTAAAAAAAGAGTGAATATGCATATAAAAAACTTTAGATCACTGGAATTCTGACAATTCAGTCTACTTAGTAGATCAGCCATTTTTATATTTGTTTTTCCTTAAAACTTTGTTTTCCTCACATCTTACGCCATTATTTCAACTACAAACTATAAAGGATGCCATTTGTGGCAAGAAAGTCGAATTTTTATTTATTTATTTATTTATTATTTTTTTGAGATGGAGTTTCACTCTTCTTGTTGCCCAGGCTGGAGTGCAATGGCACGATCTCAGCTCACCGCAACCTCTGCCTCTCAGGTTCAGGCAATTTTCCTGCCACAACCTCCTGAGTAGCTAGGATTACAGGCATGTGTCACCACATATGGCTAATTTTGTATTTTTAGTAGAGACAGGGTTTCTCCATGTTGGTCAGGCTGGTCTCGAACTCCCGACCTCAGGTGATCTGTCCACCTCGGCCTCCCAAAGTGCTGGGATTACAGGCGTGAGCCACCATGCCTGGCCAAAAGTAGAATATTTTTAAGTTCCCTTTCAATATATTTCTTTAAGCTACAGCATCTGGAAGTAATTTGGAGTTATATTTTCATATAAAAATTATCATCTACCTATAAATTTGGTTATTTTTGCTTAAATGTGGATTTATGCTCCATCTTATCCCGCAAGTAGATTACAACTATACAAATAATAAGACAAAGTAAAGATAAGTGAGAAAATCAGAGAGGATTTAGATAAAGGATGGAAAACAATAAGACGAAGCTGGAAATGAAGCCACTGCACATACTTGATGCTGACAGTACTGGCTATAAGTTGGCCTCAAAATTAGCAGGGCTACAGAGAAGTCAACTCAAAGAAGGACTCAGTGTTAGCTACAAAATTCACAGTTTAGCAGAAGATCAATTAATTCTAGTCTAGGACCAGAAAGGACGATTATCTTATGTGTTCTCATCAAGAGAAATATTAAATAATGTATGGAACAATGTCCTCAACAATATCTTGTTATTATTATTATTTTTTAGAGACAGAGTCTCACTCTGTTGCCTAGGCTGGAATGCAGTGGCACAATCATAGTTCACTGTAACCTCAAACTCCTAAAATCAAGTGATCCTCCTGCTTCAGCCTCAGGAGTAGCTGGGACTACAGGTGTGTGCTACCACACTGAGATTTTTTTTTTTTTTTTTTTTTTGTAGAGACAGGGTGTCGCTATGTTACCCAGGCTGGCCTTGAATTCCTGGGCTCAAGCAATCCTCCCACCTTTGCTCCCCAAAATTCTGGGATTACAGGTGTGAGCCACTGCACCTGGCTAATAATATCTTTAAATAACTACAAGTTTTGGCAAACTATTTTGTATAAACAGTTGAAAAGTACAATTCCAAACATACAACCCTGTGGTGGACCCCAAAGAATGTGACCCAGAGGCCCATCCTTCTTCTGCTGGTCTGGTTGCAAGCACAGGTTTCACCCTCTCTAGAAAAGACCATGAGCTGTTCTTCTTCAGATGGAATAAATGCTGCTTTTCTCATCCTAGTTTATTAAGTCTTGAGCACTAGGAAGTTGAAAATAGTATTCTCCCACAAATCCTGAGACTGCTGCATTCTGTGTGTCCAGTTATGTAGAGTCAGTGGTTCAACCAGTGAGCCAAGCTGCCAGTAAGTGGGATACCCTCCTGTGCCCGAAGAAAGACTACACTACCTCTCCATGGGAAAGCTCTGTCAGGCCCAATGAAAATACACATCAAAGGCCCTGTTTCAAAGTGGGACCATACATGGAAGAATGAGGAGACAGGGCTGGCTGGTGCATGCATTCATGATGGAGAAGAAAGTAAGAGACAGGACAGAGAAATCAGTTGAAGGCAGGCTATGGAGGAGGAGTCTTGAATTTTAATTTTATCCTATAGGCAGATGGGAAGCCATTGATGGTTTCTAAGCAGCTCACTTAGACTAAAAGATCTAAACTGGCCTCCTGGTGGGTATTCAGTCAATGGAAAAGAGGGAAGAATGAATGGAGACCCAAGGGATGATCAGAATAATATTGAGTCAGTAAATGAAATGATTCATACTTCCCCTGAGGCAGACTGTGGGAATGAAGAGGGAAGAGTGGACATAAACATTTAGAGAAAAGGGTAGACATAAACATTTTGAAGAAAAGAATAATAAAAATGGATGAATTACTGAATAAAACCAAGAGAAGAAAACAAGGTAAAATAAAAGATGGCCATAGTTATAGGGCAATTTTTAAAATTTTCTGATGCAAATATATTTAAAAGTAATAAAGCACTGCCAAATGTCTTTCGAATCACCTGAAGTTTAACCAAAGTTAAACAGTCTGTCTTGAATTCTCAGGAGCATCAAGAAGATGCATGGATTCCATGGCACTGGGATTTTACTAAATGGCTATCTCACATCTGCATTTATCAAGTACTTACTATATGAGGACACTGGGCTAAGCACTAGGAAATGAGGATAAAGAGAAGAAAAATAATATACAAAAGAGTTTTGAAGATGAATAAGGCAAGCCACTTCAAATTCACTTTCCTAATCCTGATGGGGAAAAAAATAGATCAACATCATCCCTGTTCTTACCAAGCTATATGGCGGGATCAGGGGTGATGAGGAAAAGGACTGGATAGGGAGAGAGGTTGCACACTGGCAAGGATAATGCTCCTTCACTCAGCGACCTTTCCAGCTGTTCCTCAGACTTCTTTTCACTCTCAGTCTTTCTCGATCACAATGAGGAAGCCCATTGGGTAACCAACACAGGAAGTGGGAAAGTAGACATGGTGTTTGGTGAGACAGGTGGGAAATGAACAATGTTCCTTCAATTTCCTTTAATATTCTAAGCAAATGGCATAGTTACACAGACAACGGAGTTAGAATGACTGCATCATCAAGAACAGAGGTGAAGTAATGACCTGGGGAGACCCGTTAAACTCAGCCCAGAGTTCCCACACAGCTCCAAAGAGACAACCACACTGTGTGGAACCCAGACGAGGTGAGGACGGGCGCTGGAGATGGCCAGAGTCATAGACCTGGGTCATAAAGAAGCATCTCTGTCTTGTCCTGGACAGGGGGTCAGAAGGCAGAGATCTAACTCCTGTTTCTTAGAGATTCATAGCTCAAACCCCTGGGGTATACAGGAATTGGGTCTTGAAATCCAGGAAATGAACCACTGGAGATGAATTCAAAGGGCTTAGCATCCTACCTGCACCAACAGCCAGAGAATGGAAGGGCAGAGCTAGCTGGCAGCCCATCAAAGCTGCAGGATGCCCACAATGAGGGTATTTTAAAATGGAGTTCTCTGGGGGCTGACTTTGCCCACTTCTTGGAGACCAGAAGGGACATAGCTTTTGCTTTTTGAGAAGCAAAAGCATGAGGAAGGGGGTCTCAAGACCAATCTGCCCAGTTCACTTGTGCAGGAAACTCTGCAGGGTTGAAAGCGGGAGCAGGGAAGATAGTCAGCTTCCACAGTCTCCAACAGAAGCCATGATGTGTGAACTAAGTGCCAAGGACTGAGAGATAAGCCCACTCCAGGAACCTGAAATAGAACTTTTTTTCCTATTCCCAACATAAGAGGCAAGTGCTTTCCCCTCCTCCATCCTTCACCTATGGTGCCAATCCAGGGTTTAGCTGTGTGTCTCTTCTGTTTTCCAGGATCTGGAAAGGCTTGCAGAGAAAAACAGAAGAGATACTGAAACATTTTTGATCAGCTACAGTGTTACATATAAACAGCTTAGTCAGGATACCCTGTAAAATTTGAGAGAGGAAATAGAAAATAAATCTGACTTTTCACTCCTGATATGAATACACAGAGTATTACTTTGGCTGGAATAATATTTAACTTGGAAAACCATGTAATTATATAAAAGAGAATTGGAAAGGGGAAATAACACACTAAAAATTATCACAAAAAAGATGAAAAATGAAAAGTGAAGAATTTTATTACTATTAAGCTATTTATTTTTTAAATAAATTATTCATCTATGAAATAGGAAAGAAGAGGTCTTCATTTTTTTCTCTTGAAATTTAAGAGCTATAGGCAAAAAAAAATCTGGTTCTTAATCATCTCACTAGCTATCATTGATC